GTAGCTGTAACCCATTTGTAGAAAGATTGATTCTTGAACTGTTTTTCTTTAGCTAAGAGCTATTTTGGACAAGTGGATAGGTAAACCTCTTATTTTAGAAAGAAACCCATGAGCAATCTTTTTATTGTGCTTTATTAGCTTTGGAATGATAGATTGATATCTGAAAAAAAATTCAGAATCTTTTTCTAAATATTTGTTCAGTGTTAAAAAGTTAGTACTTAAAAAGGTAATTTAATAATATAAATAGTGGGCTAGTATCTGTAATTTTATTCTGTTTCTTGGTGAAGGAGTTCTAATAATATTACAGGGCTACTTCTCTTTAGTAGTCATCACAACCCAGAAGACAACCCATTTAAACATGTAGGGTGACATAAGAAAGGTACACAATCAAGTACTTTCCCTTCCATTTGTCTGAGCTAATTATAAATGTTTTATTTTCCCCCTTTTAGATAAAAAGGTCTTCCATTTAGTCAAGCCAAATCTAACTATAGTTCAGTGAAACAAACATTACATTGGTTAATTTTATTCTCTATAGGGAACAATGGAAGACAAGAAAATCCAGTTGCAGTGGGGTGTTTTGGTTTGGTTTGGTTTGGGTTTTTTTTTTGGGGGGGTGGTGCTAGGGGTTGAACACAGGACCTCGTGCATGTGAGGCAAGCACTCTACCAACTAAGCTATATCCCCAGCATGCAACATTTTTTTCTTAATTTTATAATTTATGGGGCCTATACATGACCACATCTTTACTCTTTTATAATCGTGTGTGTTATAGGCTAGGTGTTTTCTTTTTTGTATTCATTTCTTCTAGGAAGTTAAAATGAGTAGAAACTACCAACTTTTCAAAATTTAAAATGTTGACCAAATGCCTTCTTTTCCACTAGATTGTAAACTTTTTTTTTTTTWAAACGGGGTGGCATGGGGTGCTGAAGAGTAGGCAAGTACTCTACCACTGAGCTACATAAACCCTCAGCCCTAGATTTTAAGCTTTGTGTAGCACTTAATCTAAATACTGTACACATAGTAGATTCAGAAAACATTTGCAAGCAATTTCCAGAGTTTTGAAAGGTAGTTTCCTGAAGTTTTTGGTAGGAAATCTATTTCAAAATATCTGTGTAGATTTTGCACTTTCAGTGAGCAACTGAACTTTTTAAACCTGTTTATAAACTGAAACAAAACAAAAAATTAAAGGCCCTTAAAGAGAATAGTTTTTGTCTTTCTGAATTTAAAACTAACAATTTATGGTTTTATGAGAAAGCACCATTAGTGAACATTTACCATCTTAAGTTTTTCAGTGAACTAGTCTTCAGACAAAATAAAAATAATTGTGTGCTAATTTTGGAATCAGTGATCATATTGTGTGGTGTGGTCACATTCAACCACAGGTTTGTTTKTTTTTTTTTTTTAAACGGCTATTTTGCCTTAGGTTTTGTAAGCTAGGGTATTTGGTGGTAGTACCTTAGATATTTTTGTGATTTCTAAACTAATCAAAATGCATTCCTTGAAAATAACGCTGTAAAAGCCAATCTCAAATGGGTGTATACTGCATGATTCCATTTGTTTAATGTTCATGAAATGTAATTACAAAGATAACAGATTAGTGGTTGCCAGGGATTAGGGAGGGTGGAAGAAGGATGGGTATGATTGTAAAGCGGTAGCACAAAGCGTTCATGTCAATAATGGTTCAGTTATATGTGTCTTGATTGTGGCCATAGATTCATGAAGCTACACAATTTCCTGGTATTGATGTTCTGTTTTATTTAAGCATGTTGTCAACATTGGGGGAGGTTGGGCAAAGGGAGTATAGTACCTCCTATATGTTTCTTTGCAACTTCTTTCAAATTTATAATTATTTTAAAATAAAGTTAGAAAAAATAAAACTGCTTTAATGAGCACTCCCCTCTCACCCCAAAACCACAGGGTGACTATTAAAGGCAGATAGATATCTGTTCAGTTGGCCTGTTCTTACTGTCAGATTCTAGCTTGTAGTTATTAGAGCACCAAAGTAGAAGACTCCCTCAAAGGAGAGTTCTTTCTAATCTACTAGTATTTTTACTTATGAGTAGTTCCAAGTAAATCTCTTTGTCAATTCTAGTTAAATCACAGTTCCTATGGTAATGTATGTATCTCTCATTTCCTATTTATTGATATACTGAACATAAAAGTTTAAAGAATCTTAACATGAAACATGGCAGCCTTTTAAATAGTCAACAAAATAGATTTTCCTATTTTCATAGGTGCAAATGTGGTCATATCATGTAACTTCAAGTAGATATGGACCTTTATTAAGCACACTGAAAAATATATTTCAAAGTGGAATGTAGTTGCATGCTTTTCTGGTGAACTCAGCCACGCGACCTGCACGCTAGCTTCATAATAGAGGTTCGAAGCATAGAAATTAACTAGTGAGTTTAAATTAAAGAGACATGACTCTCAGTTACCTTATTTGCCCAGCTCAGAGAGGGCTCCTCCTAGCTCCTGCCTCCAGCCACCTAATGCGGTAGTGAGGTTAACACAAGAGGCCAGAGAGAGAGGGTGGGGGGGAACACGCCAAGGAGTGAGCTTTTATTGGGGAACAAAAAAATTCAAGGGAAAATTCCATCCAATGAAGATGGAGGGGGGCAGCATTCCAAGGTCAGGGTCAGTGATTGGTCTTCAGGTCAGTGGTCAGGCACACCCCCACATGGACAAGCCCTCTCACCTGAGACAGGGTGGGGAAGGCTCTGACAAAGCTTGCCTGAGCACCTCTCACCCAGCCAGGGAGGTAACTCAAATCASGTGCGAGAATGGCTTCCCACAGTGAACAGTTTGTTTTAACAATCATACTCCAAGGGAAAAAAAACCCTTAATGTGAGCATTTCTTTTTTTTTTATTTCAAATTTAATATGAACATTTCTGAAGCCCTATGTCGTTTTAAATTTCTTAGTTTTTGTTTCTTTTGTTGATTTTTATGGTGCTGGGGACCAAGAGCTCTGCCAAAGAGCTACATCCCAGCCCAAGCCCCATGTTCTTAAACGTGAACGTAGTAATAGCAATATAAATGATAGCTAACTCTTTTGAGTCAGCTACTAAGTGCTTTCTACATGTTATTTCATTTCATCCTCAAAACAACCTTGGGCTAGGGATGAACCCATGGGCAAGGCCCTAAGTTCATTCCCCAGTACCAAGAGGTGGGGGAGGGGGGGACCTTGTGAGATAAATACTCTTGACTAGATGAGGAAACTGAACAAGAAAAAAGTTAAAATACCTGGAATAACAGAGTTAGACTAAAAGTCAGCCGAAATCCCCAGGTCTGCCTTGTGACCATTATTTTGTACTTACTTCTTATAGTATACAGTGTAGAAACTCTGAAGTTAGAGGTTAATAATATGATCACACTTATATCTTAGTTTTGTTTTATTTTTTAGGCACATATATGAAATATGTTTCTTTTCTTGCTCAGTTCCTTGTTTTCCCTGACTTACGCAGGAGAATCAAGAAAAATATATTTCATTTATGTTAATTTGAGTCATAAAATACATTGGAAATATTTATTATTATCAGTTTTCATGTTTAAATTGATATTCTAAGGAATGAAAACATTGTATCACTTAACAGGGAAATTTGGATTAAGTGAGTAATACATGTAATATGCAAGTAATACACTTAGCACAGCAGTTAGCTCAGTAAGCATTAGTTGCTATTGTTTGTTATCGGCATCTCCCAGTTGCAGTCACTTTGCAGTCACCTAAAATGTCTTTAGTTCTTTGCCTTTTTAATTTATTAAATATGTGTCCTAATACTTGTATGGCCTTTGGGTATTAAGTTTGTCTCTGTGATTATAGGGAACTGGAATTACATGTATTTTGTTGTTTGTTGCCATGGCAGGGAGAGCACCAATTATTGATACTATACAACTGAAAATAACCAATAGGCTAAAACCTATGATCCTAGGGCTGAGAGAGTGTGTGTGTGTGGGGGGGTGCGTTATAGCAGTTTTAGATTCACAGCAAAATTGAGAGGAAGGTATAGATTAAATTAGTAATTTTATATTTTAGATTAATTTCACATGCCATAAATTCTCTTTAAGTATGTGGTTTAGTGTTCATTAATATATTCACAATTCATACACAATGAAAGTGTGTAGTTCAGTTTTCATTAATAAATTTACATTATATGGTGTTAATGAATATATTCACATTATATACATGATGATACTTCTTTTTTGGCACTGCTAGGGATTGAACTACATCCCCAGTCCTCTTTACTTTTTATCTTGACCAGCTGGCCACAAACTTATAGTCTACCTGCCTTGCCTTCCTGGTAGCTGAGAATAACAGTTGTATACTTCTACTCCTGGTCACAGTGATACTTTAAAAAAAAAAATTATGTATATATTTTTAGTTGTAGTTAAACACAATACCTTTATTTTTATTTATTTATTTTTATGTGGTGCTAAGGATGGAACCCAGGGCCTTGTATGTGCTAGGCGAGCACTCTACTGCTGAGCCACAACCTCAGCGCCCCACCTCCCCAGTGATACTTTTTTAAAAAGTAAATTTTATTGTGTATATTAATGGTGTAACAACAAATTGTTAGGGGATATATAGATAATTTTTTTAAAAAACTTAACTATAGTAAAACAAATTAGCATATTCATTATCTCACATTACTTTGGGATGGGGGAAGACAATGCTGGGGATTTAATCCAGGACTTTACAAATGCTAGTCAAGAACTCCATCATGTATAACTAATTAGAACAAATTAAAAAACAATACCAAAAAAAATAAATACACCACTGAGCTATATCCATATCCCTTTTTTTAGGATCTCACTTAGTTGCCCATGATAGCCTCAAAAGCCTCAGCCTCCCAAATAGGTGGGATTGCAGGCATGCTGTACCCAGCTATCTTTCCCCTTTTTAACTATAAATAAGAAACCAGTTGCCAACAAGAATATTGGATAAGAATTTTTAAATTGGTTTACTTGGTTTAAACAGTGACAGCATTTTTCTATTTTGTAGACCTCCGTGAGTGAAAGCCTTCAGAGAGAAGCTGCTAAAAAGCAAGCCATGAAACAGGTAAGGTGGATGAGTAAAATAAGTGCATTTGGTGAAGTGTGTTTCAGCTTATAAGGACCAGTTTTGATACATAGATGCTCAGACTAAAACACTGTGTGTGTATAATGAAATAATTTTATGCTGAGTCATTTTTTCTAATGTATAAAAATGTTTGCTTCATATAGATTACAGATGTCCTCTGTAGATTTTTAAAAGAAAAACACAATGAAGAATTAGAATTATCTTTTTTTTTTTTTTTTAAAGAGAGAGTGAGAGAGGAGAGAGAATTTTTTTTTAATATTTATTTTTTAGTTCTCGGCGGACACAACATCTTTGTTGGTATGTGGTGCTGAGGATTGAACCCGGGCYGCACGCATGCCAGGCGAGCGCGCTACCGCTTGAGCCACATCCCCAGCCCTAGAATTATCTTTTAAAATTCTCACAAACCTACCCATGTTCCTGATTAAGAAATCTGAAACTCAAAAGGGAAAAAATCTCCCTTATCATGATACAACTAATTATAGAAATAGACCTGAAGGTTTACTAATTTAAACAGTGGCAAGATAACCTTTCTCTCTCTTTCTTTCTTCCCCCCCCCCCCCTTGGTACTGGGGATTGAACTGAACCTAGGGGCATTTAACTACTGAGCTATATCTCCAACCCAACCCTTTTTTTTTTGTATTTAATTTAGAGGTAGAGTCTTACCAAGTTGTTGAGGCTGGGTTTGAACTCATAATCTTCCTGCCTCAGCTTCCCTATCTTCTAGGATTATAAGTGTGCACCACTGTGCCCAGCCATCTTTCTTTTTCATAGTTTGTTTTTTGGTGGTCCTGGGAGATTGAACTCAGCCTCACACATGCTAGTGAAGTGTTCTACTACAAAACTTCATCCCCAGCCCCTATCCTGTTTGGTTTTTTTTGTTTTTGTTTTTTTAATAAATATTCCTTTTATGTTTGAAAAATGTTCATGAATACATTGGGCCAGTTATATTAATCTATATTTATTTATACTGATTTTTTTTTGTCTGTTCTTCTACTGAGAGGCATATGCTAAATTCTTCCACTATAATTATGGGTTTTTCTGCTTTCTCTTCATATTTTGCTTTGATACATAAATTAATAACATAACTACTCAAGTACTCCCTTAGCAGCTCTTTTCATCACATATACAAAGACATGACAGTTTAAACAACCAACTTACAGTCTCCTTTTCCCTGACTTTCTGGATTTTTTTTTTGTTGTTATTTTGGGTTTTGGGGTTTTATGGGGGGGGTTGTTTGTTTGTTTGGTATTGGGGATTGTACTCAGGGGCACCTTACCAATGAGCCACATCCCCAGCCCTGTTTTGTGTTTTATTTAGAGACAGGGTCTTGCTGAGTTGCTTATTAGCACCTTTCTTTATGTTGAGGCTGCCTTTGAACTCGCAATCCTCCTGTTTCAGCCTCCTGAGTGCTGGGATTACAGGCGTGTGCCACCATGCCTGGCTGCTTTTTTTTTTTTTTTTTTTAAGGGTGGTGGTTATTATTTTTTAGATTTCATGTTTTCTTCTTTGGATTCTCCTGGCTGTTTTGAGGACGAAGCAGTGCCAGTTTACCATCTGAATAGGAAAATCATTCCTTTTCTAAAATTGAGAAGTGGGAAAGGCATTAATTTTTTAATATTTTAAATAGTGTTCCAGAAAACAAAGGTTTTCAGTTAGCACATGTCATAAAGCAAATGTAGATATGTAAAAACCTAAGAATGTTACGTGGATTCTTTTGAATATCACTCTTACACTTTAAGAATTTTTCTTTTGTTCCATATTGCAAAAAATTTTAATGTAGGTTAAAATATGTAAAATCTATCTCAGAAATTTATAAACTGGGCAAAAGGCTCAGACTTGTGAAACAACTAGAAAATAATAACATCAAGTGTAGTATTAAGGGTTAGAGTTGTAGCTCAGTGTTAGAGTGCTTGCCTAGCATGTGTGAGGCACTGAGTTCRATCTTCAGCACCACATAAAAATAAATGAATAAAATAAGGGCATGTGTTCATCTACAACTAAAAAAAATTTTTTTTAAAGTGTGTTATTAAGAGTTGGAGGGCTGGAGTTGTGGCTCAGCAGTAGAGCACTCACCTAGCATATGGGAGGCCCTGGGTTCKRTCCTCAGCACCACATAAAAATAAATAAAATAAAGGTATTATGTCCAACTGCAACTAAAAAATAAATATAAAAAAAAAAGAGGGCCTTGGGTTGTGGCTCAGCAGTAGAGCGCTCGCCTAGCATGTGCAAGACCCTGGATTCAATCCTCAGCACCACAAAACAATAAATAAATAAAATAAAAGCATTGTGTCCAACTACAACTAAAAAATAAATAATTTTTTTTAAAAAAGAGTTGAACATTGCAGTGTAGATAGAATGTTCCACAAACTTTAAAAGAAAGAGATCATATCATTGGGGATTAAGGTCCTCAAAGAAGCCTTTATTTAAGATGTAGTGTTGAGCTGGCCCTGAAACTAGGTAAGATTTTAGTGGCTTGAAAGTACATGTAGAACATTAAAGATAGAAGGGACCATGATAAGCAAAGGCAGAGGATTTTATATAACTGATACTCTAAAAAGTTATTTATAAGTAATATTCTAATTAATAAATTACAAATGTCCTCTATTTTAATATTATATTTGGAAACTTTTTTAAATGTTAGGAACTTCTAATGAAATATTTCCTATCATTATATATTTTAAAACTCTATAAACATTTTGTTTTGCAGCTCAAACTTTTTTTTAAAGTGATATGAAGTCAGGTGTGGGGGGCACACCTGTAATCCCAGCAACTCAGAAGGCTGTGTCAAGAGTAACACAAGTTCAAGGCTAGCTTGGCTGAGGGTATACTTCAGTGGTATAGTACTTGCTTAGCATGCAAAAGGCCCCAGGTTCAATTATATGTGTGTGCCACCATGCCAGACTACTGTACCTTTTGATGTGGATAATATTCTGTTAGACTCTATTTTAGTTGTCATGTTATTTAAGTTATCACAACTTGGGAAGTTAGTATAATTATTATCCTCTCCTTGATTGAGGAAAAGGTTAAACAAGCTGGGCAAAGTTCATGGCCAGCCTGGGCAACTTAGCAACACTCTGTCTCAGGATTTTTAAAAAATGATTGGGAATGTAGCTCAGTAGTAGAATACTTGCCTAATGATAAGCATAGAGCCAGAATTCAAATTCAGCCTGACTCCAGAATTTACATTCATATTTTCTGTGATTGAAGGAGTTTTTATGATTTATTTTCAATTTATGAATCTTTTTAATTTCTCAGATAATTTTTTTAAAAACCATAGGATTTTGGCAGTAAGTATCAGCTGGGTTGTATTTTTGAAACATTCAATTTTATTTATTTATTTATTTGTTTGTTTTAAGACCAAACTGGAAATTCAGAAGGCCCTTGCAGAAGATTCTACTGTGTATGAATATGACAGTATTTATGATGAAATGCAGAAAAAAAAGGAGGAAAATAATCCCAAATTGCTTTTGGGAAAAGATCGGAAGGTTGGTAGCGAAATCAAACTTTCTTTGACCTTAGCCAGCATTTTGTATCTTAATCTTAAGATGAAAATCATCTGAGAGATGATTAAAAGTATGTGCAGTAATATTTTAGAGTCCAAAGGTTGATATCTGAAGTATGTGAAGAACCCCTATTTTTAGATTATAGATTTGAATTTAGAACCCTGAAAGCTTTATAAATAGTATTATTAACAGGATCCTAAGAGTGGATTATCTAACAGTTTTGTAAATTCTGTGTTTTGCTTTAATGACCTCTGCAAATACTTTTTTGAATTTTTTTCCTGAGAAAAGTCTGTGTACCAAAATTATGCTGCTATTCCCTTGTTCATGTTTACTCATGTTTTATTGTCTTCTTAATTTTGTTTTGCTTCCTAGCTGGTAATTGAATCATCTGCTTACACATATCCTGATCATAATTTTAGTATGAAAAAATTGGGGGTAGAGAGGGTATTGATCTTCACATCTTATAATATATCTATTAGTAGAATGAGATATCAAATTATGTTGGAGCTGCTATTTTAAATAATTTTCCAGTAAATATAAAAAACTCATAGAAATTTTCCTGATTAATTTATATGTTGAATTAAGAGAATACCAGTTTATCATGGAAAAAATACCACTGGGAAAGTGTTTTATTTAGTTTTTTTGTTGTTGTTTTGAAAGCACAATCACATAAATTTCTATTTCTGCTGCACTTGATTTTTATTGAATTTTGACATGACACTCCTGTTTGGACTAACAGTTTCAATGTTAGTGAATTCATGATAAAAGTTATAGAATAATAACAATTATTTTTTACTCCTTCCTAAGTAATCTTGTTTTTTTCTATTAGCCAAAATATATTCATAACTTACTAAAAGCAGTTGAAATCCGAAAAAAGGAACAGGAAAAAAGAATGGAAAAGAAAATACAAAGAGAACGAGAAATGGAAAAGGGAGAATTTGATGATAAAGAGGCATTTGTGACATCTGCTTATAAAAAAAAATTGCAAGAGAGAGCTGAAGAGGAAGAAAGAGAAAAGAGGGCTGCTGCACTTGAAGGTAAAATGGGAAAAGGGGGGCTGGGGATGTGGCTCAAGTGGTAGCGCGCTCGCCTAGTATGCGTGTGGCCCGGGTTCGATCCTCAGCACCACATACAAAGATGTTGTGTCTGACGAGGACTAAAAAATAAATATTAAAAAAAATTCTCTCTCTCTCAAAAAAAAAAAAAAATGGGAAAAGGGAAAGGTAGAGGGAAACAGAATTTCTGCCTTATGGTTAGCCATTTGCTCTGTCACCAAACTTTGGACTTAATAATGTAATCATAATGTATGCATATGAATTCAAGGTTCAAGATATATAGTATTGTAGTATAAAACATGAGATTTTGGGGGGCTGGGGCTGTAGCTCAGTGGCAAAACGCTTGCCTAGCATGCTTGAGGCATTGGGTTCAATCCGCAGCACCACATAAAAATAAACAAATAAAATAAAGGCATTCTGTCCATCTACAACTACAAAAAATATATATATTTAAAAAAAAACGTGAGGTTTTTAACTAAGAACAGTTGAATTCTACTTTAGTAACTGTTATTTCTACTGGACTTTTCACTTAGTTCTCATTTTGATCTCACTGTAATCATCATAAGTCATTGCAGTAGAACATGAATCCAAAAACACTTATTACAAGGTATATGTAACACCATAACATTTGTCAGAAACAATATAACTTTGAACTCTAATACTTGCTGAGATGAGAACCTAGAGTAACCACTTAAGAATCATCAACTGAGTAGCTAGAAAAAGAATAGCGATCAAAGACAGAAGATATGTACAGGGACTAAAGAATATCTTAGTATTCTACCTTAGTACTTTTTACTCATGGTCATTTCTCAAGAACTAAGTATTTTCTATAAAGGATCAAATAGTAAATATTTTATTTTAGACTTATTGTCTATCTGATCTCTATTGCAACTCTTTCTCTCTGCCCAAGTAGCTGTGGACAAAAACAAATAAGAAGGCAGTGTTCCAATAAAAACATATTTATAAAAAATAGGTATCAGCCAGTAGAATGGTACACACAGTAAAATCCCAGTACCTTGGAAGGATCAGAAGTTCGAGGCCAGCCTCAGCAACTTAATGAAACGCTTGGCAACATTATAAGACCCTGTTTCCAAATAAAAATGGACTGAGGGGACATGGCTCAGTTCTTAAATACCCATGGATTCTGTTTCCAGTACCTAAAAAACAATAATAGGCAACAGACCAAATCTGACCTATAGACTATAGTTTGCCAACTCCAAATGTAGAAGAACAGAATACATACACATCTCAGTGTGATATTTACTCTATACATGTAAAATGAAAATGCATTATGCCTTGTTGAATATTATATTCTGTCTTTTGCTTTCCCTTAGCACGTTTGGATGTAACCAAACAGAAAGACCTCAGTGGATTTTATAGGCACCTATTAAATCAAGCAGTTGGAGAAGAGGAAGTACCTAAATGCAGCTTTCGTGAAGCTAGGTGAGAGGTGGCAAATGGAATATTAGAATATACTGATAATAATCTTGGTTATGGGGTCATTTTAACACTCAAGAGTATCACAGCATTGCATGTTATACTGTCCACCAAACTGACCTAACTGAATAGCTAAGAATTTGCAGTTTCTTGATATAAATATCTATAGATTTATTTCAAGATCATTTTTATTCTGCAGTTCACAAAAATAATTACAATTTATGTCAGAACATTCTCTGTCATTGAATTTAATATTATCATAAAATCATGTCAGATGCAATAGTGTATGTGTGTAATCCTAACTACTCAGGAGGCTGAGGCAAGAGTATCTCAAGTTTGAGGCCAGCCTCAGCAACTTAGCAAGACCCTGTCTCAAAAGAAAATGGGCTGAGAAGGTAGAGTGCCCCTGGGTTCTAATCGTAGTACTGGAGCAGCAGTGGTTATAGCTTCTATAAAAACCAAAGACATATTAAACTTCTAATGTACAAATTTCTTAATTATCTGTTTTATGGGTTTTATGAATAATTTTAAAGGATAAGCAAAGTCAAGTTATGGTGTTTTGTTTTCTTTGTTTTAAACTCAAAATATAGATTTCTCTCATGGCCCTGGTGCCTTACAAGGACTGATGTGAGAATTAAGGAGAAATTTGGAATGAATGAGGTATCATACAATGCTCTATGTGCTGTTTATATAGTATTTAAATGTAAAGCAGTTTATAAAAGGACAGTGGTTTATTTTCTTAACTAGAACCCAATCTTCATAAAACAGAAGATTCACATGCCAGCAGCTAACACTTCACTRTCCATTACGTAACCACTAGTCACATGTAGCTATTTAAACTAAAAATAAATGAAATCTAAGCTTTTAATCAACAGTGGCCATATTTCAAGTATTGAGATGCCATATTTGGCTAATGATTATCATCCTGGATAGCTCACAGACTGCTATTTCTGCAGACATTTCTTTTAAACAGTGCTGGTCTAAAAAGCAAAGGATTGRAGGATTTAAAATAAAATTATAAGGTATTATTATGGGATAGTAAGGTAATTATGCTATAAATATATAGCTGAAGGTAAAAAGGAGAATTTGTCCTAAACATGTAAATAAGCAGACTTTCTTGAAAAGAAACATTCTATTTAGAAGATCTGTGTCTGTGTTGCTAGAATTATATTTATCCACAGTCATCCCCAAACTGCTAGGTTTTGATTATAAAATTTATGAGAATCCGGTTATAGTGGCGCACTCCTGAAATCCTGGCAGCTTGAGAGGCTGAGGCAGAAGGATTGCAAGTTCAAAGCAAGTCTCAGCAACTCATCACTTACAACTCAATGAGACCCTATCTCTAATAAAGTATATAAAAAAAAAAAGGTCTGGGAATGTGGCTCAGTGGTTAAGCACTCCTGGGTTCAATCCCCAGTACCAAAAAAAAAATGAGGTTCATGAGTCTAATAAAGTATATATGCAGAATTAGCTTTTGAATGGAAGTTATAATGCATTATGACTTCTCAGTTTCATCTGGTGTAGTTTTGAGTCATTTACATAGTACACTTCTGAGTTTAATAACTGAATTTCTAACTAGTAGTAGTTTCTTTAGTCAAGGTAGTTCTATTAGAGTTCCAAGAGAACTAAAGTTGTTGTTAGTGTGTGTGATAAGAATAAATCAGCTGGGCAAGGTAGCACACGCTTATAATCCCAGCAACTGAAGCAGGAGGATTGCAAGGCAACTTAGTGAGACACTGTCTCAAAATTTTAAAAATAGGATTGGGGATATAGCTTAGTAGAAGAGCACTTTCTAGGGCTGAAGATGTAGCTCAGTGGTAGAGTATTTGGGTTTGATGCCTAGCACTTTGAGAGAAGAGAAAAAAACAAAACAAAACAGAATGTGTGAGTATTATCACTAAGTTAACCAACTGATCAGCTGGAAAAATGTAGATGATTCAAGTAATTTTAGTATTGACTTAACAGATTCATATATTTCTATTTTATTATGATCAGTGTGAAGATTGCTGGTGCACTTTTAATCACAGGGAAGATTAATTAGTATTATTTAGGAACCAGATGTGGTATGTATATAAATAGTCCCATCACATGGGAGACTGAAAGGTAGGAAGATCCCTTGAGTCCAGAAGTTCTAGACCAACCTGAGCAACATAGTGAGACCCTGTATAAAAAATAAATTGGACTTGCCACTAATTTGCTTTGAAAAGATTATCTTCATGTACTTCTAGGATTATTCTTTATTTTTTTTGAAATAAAGAAAATGAAAAAATCTAACAAAAATCACAACTTTTAACTTCATGCTATGAAAATAGGGCTTTGATCCAAAACAGTTTTCCCAATTAGTCTTTGTCTTGGCTTAGCAAAAAAAAAAATGAAAAACTTGTATAGATCCCTGTCTATGAACATTCTAGTGGTCCAAGAGAGAACGGCTGATTTTCTCTTATTTCATTTCTACAAATATTAAAAATACTCTGAATTGTTTGAACATGCTAGTTTATAAAGTAAATAGGTGTGATTTAAATATTGAGAAAAATAATATGAATGCTTCGTTTGCTTTCTATAATGTGCACCTTATTTTTTTTTTTTTTTTTTTACATAGTTTTGAAAGGACTGGAATAAAGGAAGAGAAATCAAGAGGTTACTCTGATGAAGTAAATTCAGAGAACAGAGTACTACAGGAGAAATGCATTATCCAAACTGGTGTAAAGAAGGAGGAAAACCCAGATGCAGACAGTGACTTTGATACCAAGAGCAGTGAGGATGATGAAATTGAAGAAAACAAAATGAACTGCCGAAGGCCAAAGGTCACAGAGACTTCTAGGAATTACTCCAAGCATCACAGGAATCAATCCCACTCACCGTCACCTAGTGAAGAAAGAGGACATGGTTCCAGACACCACACCAAAAGTTCCAAGTCAAGAGGGCATGAGAAGAGGGAAGATCCACACCAAGAGAGGCAGTCCAGAGACCAAGAGAATTATTATACTGACCGTGACCACCAAAAACAAAAGGATTCTCATAGGCACAGAGAGGCCAGTCATAGAGATTCCCACTGGAAGAGGCATGAACAAAAAGATGCATCAAGGGGAAGAGATCAGAGAGAAAGAGACGATAGAGAATGGAAAAGGGGGAGAGATAGGGAGAAATATTCCTCTAGAGAACAAGAAAGAGATAAACAACAAAATGATCATGACCGATACATTGAGAGAGGAGGAGAGAAGGAAGAGAAAAGCAAAACAAAGAAGGAACACATGAAAATAAGGAAGGAAAGATATGAAAATAATGATAAGTACAGAGATAGGGAAAAACAAGAGGTAAGTGTTCAGCCTTCAGAAAGAAATCGAGACAGACGAGAAGGCAGCCCAAATTCTAAGGCAAAAGATGAGTTTCTTGACCATGAAAGATTCAGCAAAATAAGAAACATGGAAAAGGACAAAGAAAGAAGAAAAGACAAACCTTCTAGTTCTGAAACATCACTGGGAGCAAAACACAGACTCACAGAGGAAAGGCAAGAACAGGACAACGAACAAGAGAGACCACCTGAGGCAATGAGCAAGTTTGCAAAGCGGAACAATGAGGAAACTGTAATGTCAGCTAGAGACAGGTACTTGGCCAGGCAAATGGCACGGGTTAATGCAAAGACCTATATTGAAAAAGAAGATGATTGATGGCTGCTCCCAACAGGAAGATCTGTGGAAGAACAAAACATTGTAACTCCTGGAATTTGCCTTGTAAAGGCATAAAGAAATATATTAGGAGTGGATTGGGAAGGTATTTTTAAACATAATTCAAAATTCACTTTTTTATTTAGGTTTAAATTAGAAGTAAGTCTTTTTATCTTGAATGTTTAGCTGAATTTATATGTATATATTTCCTTGTTAATAGCACATTCTTGATTGTATGCAAGAACCATGAGTGTGCGCCAACCCCCCCCCCCCTGTAGGTTCTTAGAGAGGAAAATTGGCTCTATATCAACTATTAAAAAATAAACAACTCTCAAATAATGTTGCTTTTGTTGCAGGATATGTTTTGTTTTATAAATATTGTATTTCAAATAAAAATATGTGAGTTTGATAAGTATAATAGAGAAAATTGTGACTTTTTATGTTCTGAAATTTGTAAAAAAGTGTAAAATATGTATCATGCATCTTGTTTAAGTAACTTCTTGACCTACAACATACTTGACTAAATGCAAATAAAAATAATGATATGCCTGTACTTTTAATTCATGCTTTTATGTTTAATTTCATAATTTCATTTATGTCACAATTCCTGTTTTTGTTTAGTAAAAATTACTTTACTTTGTAATTCTGAAACCTTGGAAGTTAATAAATTATATATTATATCCATCTAAGAGTGAAAAGATGGAGACATTTAGCCTAAAATCCAGATGGCAAGGTGTAGTGGTGCATGCCTATAATCCTGCATCTCAGGAGACTAAGGCAGGAGGATCACAGGTTCAAGGCCAGCTTCAGCAACTTTGCAAGACCTTATCTCAAAAATGTATTTAATATTTATTTTTTAGTTGTAGTTAGATGTAATACCTTTATTTTATTTATTTTTATGTGGTGCTAAGGCTCGAACCTAGTGCCTCACACGTGTGAGGCGAATGCTCTACCACTGAGCCACAACCCCAGCACCTAAAAATTTTTTTTAAATTGAAAAAGGAGTATGGGTATAGCTCAGTGGTAAAGCACAGCTGGGTTTAATCCTCAGTACCAAAAAAAAAAAAAAAAAAAAAAAACTAAGTGACCTATTTCTGAACATATCTTACATACTCTTTTTTTTTTTAAGTGCATCTTATTACAAGTTTGCCAAATAAAACTGCGATTTCTATCCTAAGTTTTGAGACTTCTTAGCATTGGAAATTTTACATGTAAAGTATTCATGGAGAAAGAATGAATGCTTTGGAGAAAATAGTTCTTTAATAGGTCTTCTCATTAAGAAAAGTCTGTTTATATCTCTGATGCTGCTTYTTTAGATTTTATTATACCTTTAAAACCAGGAAGGAGGAGCTGGGGTTGATGCTCAGTGGTAGAACGCTTGCTTAGCATATGTGAGGCACTGGGTTTGATTCTCAGCAACTCATATAAATAAATTAACAAAATAAAGGCCCATCAAYGGCTAAAAAAGTATTTTAAAAAAAATTCAGGAAGGAAAAACAACAAGAAAGCCAATGCCCAGATTTTGAGGATAAGGTCATACTAAGTGGTAGAGCTRTTGCCTAGCATGTACAAGGCCCTTGGTTCAATCCTTAGCAACACCAAACACACAAGAGGGAAGCAGCATTAAGTATGGGAAAAAAATAGGTTAGGGTGAGATAATGGAAAGCCACAAATGATAAGAATCTTCAACTTTGGTATTGACAATATTGTTTCCTCTCCCAGAACTTCAGAAACTTTCACCAAACAACTTGGACATTTTAGATAGAATAAGCTACAGATAACTTTTATTAACCTAGTTGGATGATATCAGTGAGAAACTGCAAATTAAAGAGTTTTTTCCTATCTCCTTTTCCCAAATATACTGATGTTTTTGCCTCTGCCATTCATTCCTCCCTTTTCTGGTAGCAAAACCTTGGTTTTCTCTTGGGAAAGCACCCTTTCACTATGGAATTCAAATGAGGCAGAATAGCCTCCAGAATGGATATGTGAATCAAGTCCTACCAATTCTGGAAATTGTTAAGATTTACAGACATATTTTCTACTAGCATTACCTTCAAAGATGAGGTAAGTCTGGAGTTATATGTGAGAGTAGCTGGCTGCCTAACAGAATAAACTTGATCCAAAAAAAAAAAAAAAAAAGCAGAAATGAAGGCTGGGGTTGTATCTCAGTGGTAGAGTGCTCACCTGGCATGCATGAGGTACTGGGTTTGATTCTCAGCACTACATATAAATAAAGATCCATCAACAATTATAAAAATAATAATAATCAAATAAAGGTACTGTGTCCACCTATAACTGAAAAAATACATATTAAAAAGGAAATGAGAGATGGTTAGAAGGACCAAGACCTGATGACTGATTTGAATCTCTGGCTCTAGTGGGTATAGGTTTTGTATTTTGTGGGGTTTTTTAAAGATAATTAAATGCTTTTCTTTTTCTCTTGATCTGATTTGAATTAGATTTCTGGGACTGCAACAACAACTACAAAAATCTTATTTGATAGAAGGTCCCAYTCATGAAACTCCATGCCCAAAATTATCAGAATATGCCAGGTGTAGTAGCACATTCCTGTAATCCCAAGAGGCTAAGGCAGGAGGACTGCAGTTTCAAGGCCAGCCCCGGCAATTTAACAAGACCCTCAGCAACTTATTGAGGTCACCTGAAAAAATAGAAAGTACTAGGTTTATAGTTCAGTGGTAAGTGCCCTGGGTTCAATGCGCTGTACCCCCACCTTGCCAAAAGGAATACTTAGTGAAATTCTGTTGTATCTTTTACATCAGTGATTATGATTATACATAATACCAGGATTCATTATGCCACCTTCATACATGGCATAATAGATCACTCTCATTCCCCAGGACCTTCACTTTCTGCTCTACCCTTCCCAATCYACTTGCTCTATTCTATGGATCTCCTATTATTTCAATGAATGCATTATAATTATATAAGTAGAATTCATTGTAATCAAATGTGGACATAGCATAATATTGTTTCCCCAGTACTTTCCCCTTCTCTCCCCTCTTTATTGGTTTCCCTTCTGTTTTCATAAGATTCCTCTCCACTTTTTAAGTATTTTTTAATTTTTAAACTTTTTTTTGGTTGTAGCTGGATGCTATTATTTTTATGTGGTGCTGAGGATGGAACCCAGTGCCTCACATGTGCAAGGCAAGCACTCTATCACGGAGCTACAACCCCAGTACTCCTCCCATTTTTTTTTTTTTTAAATGTGGTGCTAAGGATCAAACCTAGTGCCTTATTTGTGCTAGACAAGTGCTTTACCACTGAGCTACAACCCCAGGTCCTCCATTTTTAAAATTATTATTCCTTTCTTCTCTAGCTTCAACATTTGTCATAAAAATTTAACCCTTGACTTTCCTGGCTTATTTCACTTGGTATGATGTTCTCCAGTTCCATTTACCAACAATGACAGTTTTGTTCTTTATGGCTGAGTAAAACTCCATTATGTATGTATGTGTGTGTGTGTGTAAATATATATATATATATATTTTTTTTACACACACACTACATTTTCTTTATCCATTTATATGTTAATAGATACCCAGGTTACTTCTATAACTTGGCTATTGTGAATTGTGCTGCTATAGACATTGGTATGCATATATCACTGTAATACACTGATTTTTAGTTATTTTGGGTAAATACTAAGGAGTGGGTTAGCCAGGTCATATGGTGGTTCCATTTCTAGTCTTTTAAGAAATCTCCATACTATTTTCCAAAATGGTTGCAATCTCACCAAAAATATTCATGCGTATACCAAGCGTGTTTCCCTACATCCTTGCCAGTATTTATTGTTATTTGCATTTTTTTTGTATTGTGTCTGTGAGGTGTTTATTTGTTTTGGTGGTCCTGGGGATTGAACCCAGGAGCCCTCTGCCACTGAACTATATCCCCAACCCTTTTTATTTTTTACTTTGGATCTAAGTTGCCAAAGATGGTCTTAAACTTCAAATCCTTTGGTATTAGCCTCCTGAGTCACTAGGATTACAGACCTGTGCTACTGCCTGACTCTTGTTATTTGTATTATTTTATTTTATTTTGGTACCGGGGATTGAACTTGGGGACACTCAACCACTAAGCCTCATCCCCAACCCTATGTATTTTATTAGAGACAGGGTCTCACTGAGCTGCTTAGCACCTTGCTTGCTTTTTTTTTTAATTCTGATTTGTTATATATGACAGTAAAATGAATTATAATTCATATTACATATAGAGCACAACTTTTCATATCTTTGGTTGTATACAGAGTATATTCATACCATTCGTGTCTTCATACATGTACTTTGGATAATGGTATCCATCTCATTCCACCATAATTTCTAACCCCATGCCCTCTCCCATTGCCTCCCACCCCTTTGCCCTAAGCTAAAGTTTGTCTATATGCTACCCCTCCCCACCCTACTATGAAACAGCCTGATGCTGGTTGTTTTAATGAATCATAATAATAGTCATTATTTATTAGGTAGTTAGTATGTGCTCAATACTGTTAAAATATTTCATGAACTAGATTTCTTTTTAAAGTCATGTTTGTTGAGATATAATTTATATATGATACAATTTGCCCTATTTAGTTTTATAGTTATATGAATTTTGACAACACAAATATAAAAAATGACAACATATATATGGATATTCAAGATATAGAATATTACCTTGTTATTTTTTWAAAAATAGAGAAATTAATTTTAATATATTTTTATTTAACCCAATTTATAACCAACATAATTTGCAAAGAAAATAATTGTTAATAAGATATTTCATGTTCATTTTGTTTGTCCTAGTAATTTTTTGGAATATAATGCCTATTTAACACATAGCACACCTCAACTCAGACTAGACACATTTCAAATACTTAATAGCCTCATGTAACCAGTGGCTGCCATATTGACTTTTTTCTCAATCTTTCACCTTTTGGTGAGACATGCTGTAGGCTGCATAATAAGTCCCCTTGTTATGTGGTTTCTTGTTGAGGTCCATCAGAAAGGGACACCAAAGAGATGAGCTTAGAATAAACAAGTAGAGCAAGTTGCTTTATTCCTCCCTATAAGACTCAGACTGTGAGTTGGTTTCTTCATGCTTTGGGTGAGAATAACTTCAGTTAGTTTGCCTTCTCCTACAAAGTTTTCATAATGGCTCTCTCTCTTTTCCACCTCCTACCTCTACAAGTCTATGGGGAAAARAAGGTGCTTCACAAAATTTATTGGTTTCCCTCAATCTTGCCCTTACCTTTATAAATACTTTATTATTACCCTGATTGATCTTTTTCATCCTTGAATCTTTTAAAAAACATTTTTATTTATTTTTTTAGTTTTCAGTGGACACATCTTTATTTTATTTTTATGTGGCACCGAGGATCGAACCCAGCGCCCCGCGCATGCCAGGTGAGCACACCACCGCTTGAGCCACATCCCCAGCCCACATCCCTGAATCTTGAATAATGGTTTTTTAATTATAAGAAAGAAATATACCTCATATCACAGACAATGTATATACACATACCAGATTAATTATATATTAAGATATATAAAATGCTAA